CGCCCCTTTCCTCCCCAGACTCACCTGCTGGGGGGTGTGTGTGTGTGTGTGTGTGTGTGTGTGTGTGTGTGTGTGTGTGTAGCTGAAGTACCCATAAAGCATTGCTGTCTGGCTGTCTGGCTGGTTCTTGCACTTTAAGGAGCCAGAGTTCCTGTTGTCCGTATGGAAATGTTGAACAACCCTTTAGCAATCATCAGACCATTTCCTGGCACTCAGGAGTTCATAGCCTGCATTGATTTAGGTAATTCAGATTAAAAATGCAGTCCTGACTGACAGTTGACTGGTGCCAATAGAAACTTAATGCTTTGATTCAAAAGCTTATTGACCCACTAATCCAGTGGGATGTTTGTTTAATAGGAACAAGCACCATTAATACTGCATCCATTAGGCCTGTAGAATGAATAATTTAAACTCAGTCAAACTCCACTGTTCCCCCCTCACTTAAAAATACATATTTTTGTGCCATTTCAGAATGTTATCTGAAGACCAGGACTAAGCATGAAGAATACTATCCTCTAAACCTCTGGGAATGAAAAGTGTGAAGAAGAAGAAGAAAAATCCTTCATTCCAGACTTAGATTTTACCCTACAAGTCTCTCTCTAGAGGCAAGTTGCTGGTGGATGAGCTAATAGTCCAAAATTAGTGAATGAAAGTGGTGTGTCCACATGTGCAATGTATTTATTGACAAAAGAATTTCAGTCTAAATCAACACACACCCTCCTGTTCTAGTGTCCAATGAGTACTTGGCCTTTAACGACTGACTTCCCCTTCTCTTTTATTTAGAATGTATCCTGGATCCATGGATGTTTGCCGGCTGAACTTAGTGAAACAAAGCCAACTTGTCTATGCTGTTTACAGTTTGTGATTTAGGGCCTAGTCCAAAGCCCACTGAAGGTAGTAGAAAGATCCCCATTGACTTTAGCAGGCTTTGGATTAGGCCCTTAAAGATTTGTATTATATTTTAAAACTGTCTCAGTGTATAGTAATCATAATAATAATGCATTTATGATAATTTTTACATGCCACAAATTCACCCTGAAACTGCAGCTATTTCCTTCTGAGATCCTGAGCTTTACACTCTTTCACTTTGGATTTTTCACTATCCAAAGGCTGATGTCAATCACTTGAATATTAAGGAATCTCTTGTTCCATGCAACAAATCTCAAAGTATTCTCCAAACGATCTTTCTGTTGTCCTCCACTGCTCAACCACCTCCCATTGGCCTCCGTCTGGCATCAAACTTGCACTGAGCTCATTTTCATCTTTAAATTTGTCCAGTCTGTGTATATAAGATCATTTTCTCTTCTTTTCTTTTGTCAAATGACCTGTATTTTAGTAATATGCTTCTCCATCCATTTTTACAGTGCCTCTAGCAAATTAGTTTGTTTCCTTGTACCTCACCTTGATAACTGTTTTTTGTTTCATTCACTATCTTGTCCTCCCATGAACAAAGAGGTGAATCCTACCACCCTTACTGATGTTGCAGACTTTCTTACTAATAACCCAATGACTGCTGAGTGCAAAACTGCCCAACATACATAAGGGAACAGAATCTGCCTCATAGCTAATACAATTTCCTGGCATTTTATCAAAGCACAGAATTATAGTTACATTTTCTGGATTGAAAACTTGTTGAAATAACAAATATGTTCTGTAACCAATACATTCTGTGCCCAAGATTAACATGATGGGCCAGATACTCCATTGATGTAGGCCATTGTGATTCCATAGACTTTTCATTATTATTACAACTTCAGTTTGCCTTGCATTTACACTGTTATAAATCAGGAATGACTGCACTGAAGTTAGTTGAATTCTTCTGACTTTACAGGCCTACTTGTGGGGGAGAATTGTGCTTGCAATGAGTGCAAATATAGTATCATGAGAATAATCTTCTGAAACCTATACCTGTCAAAGTATATACACCTGGTAACAGAGTGTATATGCCAACAGAGCTGCGGTTTGTTCATTTCTCCCAAATTGTGTTTTTCACTGAAGTCAGTAATACAAACTGTTCTTAAATGATGTTCTTTCAAATCTTTTTTGAGTCCAGGAAAAACAATTACTTTATTATTTACACTAGTAAATTTTCTCCAGCTGGGAGTTTTGCCGCTGACTTCAGTAAGACCAGGAGCTGGCCCATTCTGTGCACTTCCTAATGATGTTTGGACACTGGTTAATTGGTCTCAAATGTCTTGTGGGACTTTTTGTAGCTTGCATTATATCAGATGTAATAAAACTGTCATGGAGAGGCAAAATAAAATTGGTTTTCATTAATGTTCATTCAGGTGTGTGGGAAGTGACTTTCTAACATTTTAAGTCTCTCCTATTTTAGTGATTAATTTATTTTTCCAAGTCTATTTTAGAAAAATTCAAATTTCAGTAGAAAGGGAATGGAACCAAGAAGGAAGTATTACCTGGCCTTGTCAGTAGCACACAAGTGATGCAGTGAGGAGAGCATTTAGTATTCTATTTTGACTGAAGATATAAGTTTTAATCAGTATAAAATAATGTAGTAAAATAGCAAAGCCAAAATTGACCAGAAAAGACTAAACTCTGTTTTGACAAACTAGTTTAAGTTCAGGGGAAGTGCTGACTTGAGCCAAATTACTCTGGTCTAGGGTAAGTGAGAGAATTCCTACCTTAGTTGCTTGTTCTTCCAAATTAGCCAAAAGTCTCACACAATGGCAAGACTGAAAGACAGAAATATGTATTTTAAAAACCTTGGGTCAGATCTTTTTCATTCTCAATGGTGTAAACCTTAAATAATTCCATTGGCTTAAATGGCATTGCAGTTCATTTCTCCAGTCTAACTTATACCAGCCAATGAAAATTAATATGTTCAGAAGTTTTACTGGCTGGCTGATCACAGTTGTTTTGCTAGCAGGCAGGAATGATCAGGCAGCAGTACTGGTGAACATGTCCAGGGAAATTAAATAATAAGATAGCTGCAGGAAGTCCCTGCAGAGGCAAGAGTACAGTCTCATTTGAACTGGTAAGCCAAAGTAAAGTCCATTAGGACTTGTAGTTGTATAATGGAAATCAGAATCTGATCCTGTATTAGAACTTCCTACAACATATGAAAATCCAGTATAGTGAATAATCTGAACTTCTGCTCTTGGCAGTGTAAGGACTTGTGGGTCAGATCTTCAAAAGTATTTAGACGCCTGGGGCGCATTCAGACAAGCAAGCACATGCCTGCATCAAAATAGTTTGAGATGCCACAAGAGGCATGCTGGGAATGAAAAAATTATCCCCACACTGCATATTTGCAGCATGGACTCTAATTTTGATACGGGGAAATCCTGGTATCAAAGAAAACCTGCTGAAGAAAAGCGGCGCAGGGCATGCTCCTGGAGCCTGCCCTAAGGCAACCAGAGGCTGAGTCCTTCAGAAAGATGTGTCCCCTGCCTGCCCCCTCACACAGCACACAGCCCCCACCCCCACAGCAGCAGCCATCCCGGTGCTCCTATCTCACTACTGGCAGAGCACCCCCATGGCGCACCAAGGCCCCAGCTGCCTAAGACCAGGCACCACATGTGCCACATGGCACCGTGCTGGTCTGGCCCACTAACGCGCACTCTCAGGCAAAACCAGGCTGCTTTTGCTGTCACCCGGGGTTCCAGCACTGCATGCAGGGGCCATGTACCCTTGGGCCAGGCCAGATCCTGCCTGCATGGACCCAGCCCGGCCCGGGGGCACGCGGAGTACTTGGAGGCAGTCCAAGAGTACACAGCCCCTGTGTGCTGTGCCAGGACTCCGGGTGACAGCCTGAGTGATCCAATTTTGCCTGACGGCATGTGCTAGCAGGCCGGGATGGTGCAGTGCCACATGGCACAAGTCATGCCAGGTCCCAGGCAGCTGGGGCTGCATCACATCACACCGCACCGCAGGGGGGCTCTACCAGTAGCGGGCTATGTACACCGGGATGGCCACTGCTGTTGCTGCAGTGGGGGCTGTACACTGTGTGGGGAGGTGGGCAGGGGGGCAGGGGACCGACCTACCCCTTCCAAACAGTCCCCTCCCACTCACACAGTCCCCCCCACACTCACACACACAATCCCCACACCCACACAGTCCCTCCCACACCCACACAGTTCCCCCACACCCACAAACCACCCCCACAACTCCCCATCCAAATACCCAGCCACAAACCACATATCCACAAACCCCACACCCCCAAAGCCCTACACAAACTCCATACCCCCCTAACAAACCCTACAACCACCCCTACACCCACCCACAAATCCCATCTCCCACACACCCCTTCCCTCTAAACCCAACATCCTCCCCATACATCTCACACCCTGCATGCCCAGCTGCCAAATGGGATGGGACAGGACCTGTTGGTGGGAGCCGCACTGCAACCCTGCCCTGTGCCCACACCAGTGCTGGGATATACGGCCCCAGCCTGGGGGGCTCCTAGTCCCAGAAACCACTTGGGAGTGTGATCGACTGGGGGGAGTGGGGGAGGTGGCAGCAGGGGTGTGTGAGAGAGAGAGAGATGGGGTTCAAAGGTAGGGGAATGCTTTGGTTAGGAGAGGCCACCAGAGCCAGTCTTAGAGACCCCCTGCCCCCTAAAGCCACCTGTGCAGGGGGAGACCAGCCTGGATGGGAAGGGGCTTGTCCAGCCCAGTTCCTGAGCCCTTGTTGCGGGTTTCCCAGGAACAGCATGGGGCTTGCTGGGGCCTGGGCACAGGTACAGGGCAGAAGAGTAAGGGCTGGCACTGCTCAGAGCCACAAAGCAGTGGGTGGAACAGCTGCAGCTGGACTCATGTCCTGGTTCTGGGCCAGAGCTGCAGCTGGGAGAGAGCTAGGAGGGGCAGACAGGGGCTGAGGGTTGGGAGTAAGGGGCAAGGGCAGGGGCAGGGCACTGGCATATCAGTGCTGCTCAGTGCCCCACATCCTGGTGAGCAAAGGGGGCAGGGGCAGCTCTGATTTGTCTATGATAAAACACAAGCAAATGCCAAAGTGTATAGGTATTTAGAATTCATTTTATTATGATGATAGAGGCACTGGTAGGCTTCTAAATTGCTTTAAAATTGTAAATATATCAATAAAACATTGCCCAACTGATCTCTCTATATATAGGAGCATTTCATTTTAATAGTGGAAGAACACAGATTTGGGGTATTTTAATGAGGTAATTTGCGTTTCTTATCAGATAATTTGCAGTTTTTAAACAGGGAGCACCAGGATCTCTGCTGGCGATGCAAGTGGCAAGACCCAAACAAAGAAGCCTGCCCAGGGCCAGCACCAGGGACCCAGCTGGAGGGCAGACTAGGTGGCTGACCTGGCCATTTCGGGCCAAGAGGACACGCTTTGATAATTCAAAGTGGGCCACCGCAATAAGCATATCTTCTGGGCCACAACTGTCCAGATGGCAGAGCGGGAGCACCAGAAGATATGACAGCAGCGCCACCTGAAAGCCAACTGTGCAGCCATGGCCCACTGACAGCTGGCCCAGAGGTGCAGGAGGCTAAGCAGTGCCTATACCACAGCCAAGGCAGCCGTGCAGTCCTCATCCAGGTCTGGCAGGCACGCAGTTGTAGGGCTGCAGGTCCAAGACGGCAGATGCTGTTGCAGATGGCAGGTCACAGCCAGGCAGCAGCCCCCGCTGCCAGACTGCTGCAAGCTGTTCTAGGTTAGGGCTGCTTCAACAGTCCAGCTGGCACAAGAGGCTAGTGTGCCCAGATACCAACTGGCCAGGCCTCAGAAGCTCCTGAGGGCAAGTAGCCCTGAGCTGTTCACCAGGGCAGCTTTTTATACTGCTGGGGCCAGCACAGGTGCTGGCACCAGCGTCTAGGTCCCCCTGGCTGAAGATCCAGGAGGAGCTGGGCAGGGTCAGTTTGCCCCAAGCAGCACAATTTGCCCCCACCAATGTGCATGTTTAGGCATGTGTGCTGAGGCACAAATCTCTGGCACAAATTTGTTCTGCTGCTATTTGAGCTGGCACGTGCCTGCATGTGTGGATGTGTCCCTTAAAGTGTAGCGATGTGTCTAAGGGGATTTTCAAAGTGCTTAATCCAAACTGAAATCAAAGGGAGTTAGATACATAACTTACTTAGGTGCTTTTGAAAGTCCTACTATGTACCTATCTGCATCTGTAGGCATTTTAGTGCCTTTGAAATCTGGCATTAATTTAACTGAAAATTGCATCTTCCTTTCTTCATTGGTTTTGAAGATAAATGTTGCTGATTTAAAGCATTATTGAGTTGTATAAAAATAGACTTTTACTTTAGACCACTTAAGTCTTATGAAAGAGAAACTTAGTAGTTCTTCTAATGTTCTTTAGTGATTTTATGTCATGGCTAATCTTGGTTTTGTTTTACTAATGTACTCATATCAGTGCTTTTCGTTTATTCACATATGTTCAATAAGACTGTCTGTTATAGAATTTTCAACTGTATTTGACAGCCAGTGTCAAACTGGTTGAGTGTGAGAGAGCTGACTATTATTTAAGCCTGTCCATACCAAGAAGACAACTGTCTCCCGCAACTGATATGACATTTGGGTGGACAAAAGAACTTAGGGTGCAGACAGACGTGACAATTTGCGCTCGATTTGGCCACAGAAAGCAGTTTATAGTTGTGGCCAAACACAAGTGCACAGCTGTAGACAGCTTCAAAAATGGCCAATCAGGTGAAAATCTGACCCCTCATTGCATGAGGGGTCAGATGAAGACATTTCAAAACATAGCATCTTCTCTAACTTCTGTCTGTGCTTCCTGCCAGCCTATCACTGTTTTTGGAATGGGAGGGGGGAAAGGGAGTGGAGGGAATTGGGTCTGGGGATTTTTCAGCCCCTGCTGGAGGGTGGGATTGGTGTATTGGAGCTTCCCCACCTTGGGGGCTCCAATACACCCACCCCACCCTCCAGAGCAGGCTGAGGAACCCCTAGAACAAGCTCCCTCTCCTCCTTTTCCCCCTCCCAGTCTGAAACAGGGACAGGCTGGGAGAAAAGACAGGCCATTGCTAGGGGAAACCAGCAGCACTAGATTCCCGTCTCCCTGGAACCAACAGGGAACTTCTGTTTGTTCCAGGAGATCACTGTAACTCAGAGTGCTTCCTGCAAAGCATTCTCAGTTATGGCAGGGAGCTACACTTCTGTCTGCACCCTTAATACCACCTGTCCTGCCCACACCTTTTATGGGCGATATGGACCACCCATCTCAGCATCTTTTACAAGGACTCAAGATAGTCCAATGAGGTCCTTTCTTATAAGGTACTGGAGCCCCTATTGCCCACAGAGAGCTACCTCACTGGCCAGTGAGTGTGTCCTCC